CCTTTCATAACTGCACAGAAATTGGCTGTGAGGAAGCCACTTACAGGGAGACATGGCAGAACCTGCCCCTCATACTGAAAGGGCCAAATGCAATTTGATAGGTTTTTATATGATTCTCTGTCACTGCCTTCCTCACACCCCCATTGCCTCTGACAACTACTGTACAAAAAAGCTTCCAGCTTACAGCAGAAGCCTGTTTTGGCAGATCTAACTTTTTTATTTATAGTACTAGGGATTAAAACCAAGATCACATGCCTGCTGGTCAAGTGCTCTGCCACTGAGCTATATTCCCTGTTCTTTTCATTTTTTATTTTGAGACAGGGTCTTGCTAAGTTGTCAAGGGTAGTCTTGAATTGGCTGTCCTCTTGCTTCAGCCTCCCAAGTAGCTGAGATTACATGTATGTGCCACAATACCCTGTGTGGCAGGTCTGCTTTAATGAAATACCCTGCTTTTAGTGGATGTACTGCAAATATTTGTTGAGTTCTCTTGATATGACAGTAGAACTAGTGAAAGAAATTGCTGTGTTAAATTGAAATTGCTGCTGACAGGTGCAGTGCAGACTTACAATCCTTCCCGCCTTGTATCTTTTGATAGAGGCCAAGGCAGCTTTAAGGCACTGTTGGATAAAAGCAGTTGTTCTCTACATGGAGGTAGCCTTGCCTTGCCTGGACTGCAGAGGTATCCTGATACATGGCTAGGATGCAGTTTTTTCTCATGATGGATGCAGGTTGTTCTGAGTGGCTATAACCTCCTATTACCTCACCCCACCCGCTGCATAGCTTGCAGTTTCCACTGGCCCTTGTACCCTGGGAGGTAAATGGGACTGAACCATGTAGGCTTACAGCTTTGTCCACTAGTCACCCTTTTCTTTACCTTGTTGCTTTGGAGTTGGTGTCACTCTTAACCATATAAGCCATGTGTTTTCTTTCCCCACAGGAAAGCCTGCCTTGGCTAAAGACTTGGAATTCATTGATACTAGGCTTAACTTTTCTCTTACGAGTTTTTGCATTTTAAGAAAACTCAATGAGCAAAGCTTTAGGTGACATAAATTGTTTTTGTGGTGGCAGTAGGGCTATAGGTGGCTTTGGGAGAGTGATTTTCTAGTCCATTGGGTAAGGACTGGAGTCTCCTCTTGGCTTATCGCACCAGGTAGCAGCCTACCTCTGCCTGAGACATGAGAGCATGGACCGCAGATGATCCCCAGAGAGCTGCTACAAAAAGTACCAGAAGAGCAAACCTCAATTCTGGCACCACCATTCTGTGGTCTCTAAAGTTATTTTGTTTCACAATTTTGTTTTGTTTTTCTTCCTGCAAGTTAAGCAAGGCATCTGGCAACTGTGGTGTGGAGTCAGCAGAAACAGTTTTGTTTCCCATCACTGCCTGGCAACATCTTAAACTTGACTGAGTTCTCAGGCCTGACTGTGCTTTTGGAAATTGTCCCAAACGAAAGAGGCTTGAGGAAAGGCTGCTCAAATGAGACCAGCAGACATTCTCACGTGTGGATGTCTTATTTTTCTCAGTGCTGAGAAAAAATAACCACCCAATGTTAAATGAGCAAAAGACTATTTAGCTCACAGTTTGTAGAGGTTTCAGTCTATGATCAGTTGGGTCCAAGATAGGATGGCATGGCAGAGGAGCAACACAGAGGAGAAAACAGTTTATGACAGGCAGGAGACAGCAAAAGCAAGCAATGCCGGGACCATAACAGCATCTTTCTGCCCTTTTTATCTTATTAAGGCTACTCAGGGAAAGCAGTGCTCATACCTTTAATCCTAGTGCCCTGCATCCTAGCACTGAACCCGAGCATCACACCCTCTAGATTTAGCCACTTCTGAGAAAGCTCCACCTATGACCATAGGAAGCTTTGAGGAGACATCTAAACACAAGCCATACAATGGCTTGTGTTTTGACCTAGGAGCAGAATATAACAAATCAATAATAGGAAAACTATAGTATACAGAATGACCTTGTCATGTTAAAATACCTTCATTGCTTGCTTGTTGTGTATCAGGCAACTGAGGTTTTATATATATAGTACTAAAGGTTATCCTTTGTGTTAGTACAAAATGGCTAATGTGTATCCTTCAGAGACTCAAGTATGCTAGAGAAATTAATTGCAAGACTTCTACAGTTTTCTCCCAAACAGAAGGAAAAGGAGGAAAGAGGAGGAAAAGGAAAAGGAGAAAGAGGAGAAAAGGGAGAGAAAAAAAAGAAGGAAGAGGAGAATGAGGAAGAAGAGGAGAAAAAGGAGGAAGAAGAAACATTATTTTCCTTCTCTGTTCTTTCTTTCACAGCTAGACATAAATTCCTCTTCAAACTTTGCAGAAAACCTTTCCTGTGAACTAAGATCAAAAAAGAAAACTCCAGGCTTTCCTTAAAGCAAATGCAAATGAAATTTTGACCAAAATTTTCAGTATTTATTTTCATCAAAATATAGAATTATCCAGGGCCAGTGTTGAGGGGCCATGTGTGTACCCTGCCCAAAGATGGGGATTTTGGGAAAGTGTTTCTGCCAAGAAGCCAATCACACAGCTCTCCTCCTCTAGACTGTCAAGCTGTCTCAAATTCCTTAAACATACCTTTTCATATAAACCAAAGCTCCTTAAGACACTTGACTTTTCCTTATATCATTCACTTTTTACTTTTCATTGTGACCCTCGATTGCATTAGCATTGGGGAAAATTGTTTCCCATTTTTCAGAACACCAGACCAAGCGTAGTATACAATTGTGGTCACTAAGATGTCAAGGCATGTATTGTGAGTCTCCCTTGAAAGTTACAAGGGTAAATATAAACCAGGTAGCAATCTTCAATAAAGACATTTGAGTTTGACCACAAAATATTCTGGCTAAGTATATAAATGGCTTCTCTAAGCCTCTTTTAAAAGAGACCTTTGGCATCTATAAGAAGAAAGCCAGGGATAGAAAGGACAGAGATTGGCTTTTCAGAAGGTTTTCTGGATTACATATGGTACTGTCACTTTTACTGCCTTCTCATCCAACCCTAACTCCACACCACTGTGATTGATGTCTTAAAGTACTACTCTGATTGTGTCACATGAGACTCCCACAAGATTTACATGCCTCAGCATCATGTGGTCACTGCATGTCTCCTATTGTGTCACTTGACCTCAGCTCAGCTATACCAGCTTTGCTCATTTCCTTCCATATGTTACACTCCTTCTCACCATAAGTCTTTGTGTGTGTTCTTTTTCTAACATTACCTGGTTAACTCTTTTTACACATCATTCCAGTTGCAGCAAAATGTTATCTCCTCAAGAAACCTTCACCAATTCCAATAACCTAATTATTTCTCTACTATCTTCTGCTTACCACTCAATAACATTTGTTCTATCATTAGATGCTAGACAGTATAAAAGTAGGAGACAGTTTTCTTTGACCTTTGTTTGATATCTAGTGCCTAGGATGTCAGCAGTTAGATTTCATGGGGTTTGAGTTGGAAATTTGAAATAATAATAGTTCTTGTGAGCACTTGTCTCAGGCATCATGCCAGGCATTTACACATATTTTCTAATTCAGTCCTCATAGCAACCTACAAAGCCAGAAGGTAATGGAGACCTAACCACAGCTATGATCATACAGAGGCTTATCTTTCCTCACACAATAACAGACGAAGAGCAGGCAGTCTGAGGTGACACAATTGATTAAGAAATCATGAAGTTTCCAGCTTCTTCTGATGTTCTCCTTCTTAATGTTTAGATTTCTAGCTCCTTGGTTATAAATGTGCTCATCCACTTAAGACATTGCATTGACTGACCAGGAGAAAGACAATGAAAGCAATGCATACTCATACATGGAAAAGCACTCTCTGATGCTAAGGTCCCTGGCAAACTTCAGACTTCTGCTGTAGAACTGTACTCTAGAACTGGTTAGAACTCTCTGACATAGATATGCCAGTGGCAGGACCGACTGAGAAATAGAGGTTTTTATTTTGGTTTTTGTTTTTTTTATGAGTGCATAGCTGCTTTAGGATTGTGCAATGAGGAAATAGGAGGGAGCTGGACATTGGACAGGCAGTTAACCATGCTGCTGAAATAGGTATTATTTTACATAGCAGGAAACATAGATATTCAGGGTTAAGAAAATTGCTTAAAGTCACATGGTTAACAAGCAGAAAAGCTGGTTACCTGAATATTTAACCTGAATATTTAACTCTGTGCAAGGGCTTGAACAGAAAAGCAAAGGGGAGGAAAAGGGCACTTTGTGGAAGAGGAAGGTGTTAACAAAAGTACCGAAGTAAGAATACTTCTGTGCAAGTGAGGCCCTGGGCTGGGATATGGGAACTACACTGAGAGTAGCAGCAAGTAAAGTGGGAAAGATAATTTGGGTTCATGCCATCTGCCAAATCAAATCTTCAGAAGCATAAGCCTTATTAGTTCTGAGATTGAAATAATGATAATCTAAACAGGCAAGAAGTGTTGGCAAGAAATGACAGCTCTGTCCAGGAGGCAAAGGCTAAGTGCAGGAATGTGACCAGGGTCAGTACACTAGGAAATGCCAAACATGAGCACAGCCAGAAACCAGTGTTTGGCAAATTAAAAGTTGAAGCTGGAACACTTTAGAAGTGGCAGCCAACATTAAATACAGGATGTTCTGAAGCTCACAATGTGTACAACAGTCTTAGAGATATAGGCACTGGAAGCCAGCACTGGGTGGTTTGAGGTCAGAGGGCTGACACACTGGATTCCTGGAATATGACCTACTGAAGGCCTGGTTCTTTTATAACAGTGTTTGTACCTTCCAGCACCTTTTGATTATTATTGACACGTTAGGAGCACATGATGACTGAAGACTATGGGAACACCAAAGAAACACAGGGACATGTTTTCCACTGGAGCTTATTACTTTCAAGTATTAGCTTGACCTTTGTTATTTCATGAGATAACTGGAGTGGTAGCACAAACAAAAAGCTAGAATGAATAAGAAGGGAGCTGTGCAAAGCAGATTACCACATCAGTTTTAGATTACACACTTTTCTGTCATTACTGAGTATGGAGCTGGCACTGTGAGAGGTCAGATCTTGTAAGCACACATTCCTTTTAAAATGAGAGACCTGTCAAAAGAATGCAGCATGCCTCTGAGTGGTGAGTTTTCTGATCTGGTAATGCTTAAATAGAAGCTGGACTGTAGAGGAGAGAGGTTTCACAATTATTTACTACATGCAGCTTGACTAAAAAGTTTCAAATCTACATTTTTATAATTGTATGTTATGATCTTCTGGAATCGATCAGAAGTTTAGGCTCCAAGTAGGAATCTGAAATCATTTGTGCCTTGAGTCTGTTGCCAGCCAAGTACTCTAAAAAGCTTTGCAGAACCTTCTCCTCACGTAGTGTCTCTGCAACACATGAGGTTGTTGGGAAAATAGGTATAAGGGCCATTCTCTGGCAATCTAAAGAATGAAATTTAATTTTAGGTGTTCAGCATGTGTTCTACTATATGAAGCCTCAGCATGCGTGTGCCTAGCCTTAAAATACACAAACACACACACACACACACACACACACACACACACACACCCCTTATGAGGAAAAACAAATCTTTGTTCACTGCAGCAGTTAAACTCTTGAATACTAGAAGTTTTGAGTTTGAAATGTAGCTCCTGAAAGAGCGAATACAATTAGGAGGTATGATAGACATTGTAAAATGAAAGAAAAATGTTCAAATGTAAAGGGCAACTGGGGTGTGGGAAAAGAGAAAGGAAAGAAGGGGAAATTATGTAAGTATGTATACACAGGATAGCTAAAATAGTTGTACTACCGTCTTCTATTGCTCTACAGAAAGGAACAGTTAATGATTACTTGTTTGATCAATGTTGTATGTCTCTATTTGTTTTCCTGAGAAACCACTTTGAAGATATCAGTAAGTAATACAACAACCTTGGTTAATTTCCTACCACTTTGTCTGTAACTCTGTCTTGTTTGTATTGTTCTTATGCTCTTTTGTAAATGGATGTCTGTCTGTTAACACATTTTCCTTTTTATTTTTTAAAATAAAATAAACACCTGCTGATTTTCAATTAAAAAAAAAAAAAAAACGGCAGCTCCTGTGCTTTCTAGGTTTGAATCTGGGGCAGGTTACTCAGTTTCTGTGCTGGTCTTCTCATCAACAAAACAAGAGCAATGGCTGTTGTGAAGATTGTGTGTATTGTTACCTAAAAGATTTAAAGTAGTAACTGGCACAGAGTAATAAACACACACACACCAGCAGTTATTATTCTAGATTTTCTAGAACAAACAAAAAAACACAAAGAACTAAACCTATCCTTATACTGAAGGAAAACCACTCAGTTGTTATATCTTTCTGGTCTTTTTTCATGTGTTTATTTTCTGTTTGTTGTCATTCTGGTTTCATGCTTGTGTCAAGGGTACTAATGCACAGGCATGATTAGATAATCTTGCAAAAATATTTTTTCAGGATGAAGCTAAAAGGTCAAAACTTACTTTAGTAGTTTTTATGGAGTCATTTTTCAAAGAGAACAGTTCACCTGTAAGTCACAGAGAGAAAGCTCAGAAGAAATTAACCCTGACAACACCTTGACCTCAGATTTCCAGCAGGTCTGGAAACAAATTAAGATCATATTTTTTTAAAAGGTGAATTATTTTTAATGAGGATTATGTAAAGCTACCTTGTGGAAAATAATTACATTTAATTGGTTATTCAATCAGCAAACTATTAAGATTTTCATACAGGTTCTACCAAAACACACTTAAGATTTGAGATACTATCAACACAAGTCATAAAAGATTTTGGTGGTAATGTATCTTTAAAATGAAGCAGCAGATTTACTAGAAATTTAAATTGGAAATATCCATTTAATTAAGATAAGACTAGTGATTCTGGAAACACTGTGTCAGCTATTTAAAACTTGGCCTCTTTGAAAATTGGATAACATGTTAGCATGAATGCTAAGTTTTAAGGAAAATAGGAATAAATACTTGCAGCTGGTATAGGGCAGTATCAGTTGTGAAAAGCAATAAGAGAAACCGTCCATTATATATTGGAGGGGGTGAACATTCACTTGAACTTGTTGGCAACATGGCACCTGTCTTGGCTGCTTTTCTCTCATTTCTGAGACAAAATTCCTAATGCCCAAAAATAAGGAAGGAAAAGTTTATTTAGCTCATAGTTTGTGAAGGTTTCAGTCCATACTTGGCTGGCTCCAAGGCAGGGTAGCACATGGCAGAGGGCAACAGTTCATAGTGGTGGAAGACATCAAAGTAACAAGAGCAAAAGTTGGGGGCAAGCCTCTCTTCCTTCCTTATATTGTGTGCTGGCTACCCACCCATGCCCACTCCCTCTTTGTGCCCTTCTCTTGCATAGGCTCAGATGTAGAACTGCTGAGTCACTTAGCCAAGCTTCTAGACTCCTCAGGTTGACACAATGTATTAACCATAACAACACCTCTGACTATGGACAACATCCAGGATAAAGTAATTTCAAGTTAGAGAATAGCATATGATTTATGTTCGTAAATTATCTTGTTCTTTGGGTTACAAGGGCTTTCATAGTTCAACAATCCTGACTTCTCAGTTTTTAAAGCTCACAGGAAAACACATAATTTATTTACCTATTCTTTTACCAAATATTTATTAAGAATCATTTGTGTCAAAGTGGTCAGTGAATCTCTACTACTGTGATTCAGACATCTATGGTATCCTTAGTGCCTGTCCAGCAGACCCTTCTGGAGCCCTTCTCACTGGCCCTGTTGAACAGATAGAAACAACTGCTGTCAACAATGCCTGTCCAGATGTTTGACCAGATGTAGATTCTGTGTCACTCTTCTGAGGCCAAACTCCCTGAACTTATCTTACATGGGTGTTTCCCTCATTTAAGGAGTTAATGCTGTTTTGAGACCCTTTCATCCCCCTACATGCTTCTTCCATGTTGATGCTGACATCTCATGAATAGCTGCAGTTAAAACATTTGGTTTGGGTAAGTTTTTATTTTATTTTATGTTTTTAAACTTTAACATCTTTTTCAAGCAAAAATTCTTTTGATGTTTATTTTCTGAAAGTGCTCAGAGGTAAATGAAATTTGGCACTATCTATAATAACCTCCCTTATTGCACTTATGTTTGATATGTCAAACATTTCTCAGATCTGTAAACTTGTGAGCTTGAAGAAAAGCACCCTTCAAAGTTCATTTCAAAGTCATTTGAATCTCAAGAGATGCAATTAAGTGTTATCTAATCCAACCTCCTGTTCTTATGTCTTCCTCTGGTCATTGTTCTCATTTATTTAAAAAACATCTTGTTTTCCTAAACATCCTTTGCATATTCAGTAGCTTACTAATCTTTCAATAGACCTGCTCAAACAATATTATATTTGATACTAATCATAGGCTGGCATTTAGGGTTACTTTTTGTACATGCAAGGGGAGGAAATGGTCATTTAAGTTAAAAAAAAAAAAGTATTGGTAATACTTTCATGTCCCTTTGTATATTATGTAATATGCCACTTAAACTGAAGAGGCTAGTACTTTATGTATTAATAACATTCTCACATTCTAACATTTTGAGACATCCTTGTTTTACAAATGTTAATAAATGGATCTATGTCATATTATCATCTGACTTAGCTAATAAATTGATTTAAAGACTCATGATTTATAAGGGCTTCTTTCTTTTATCATGAACTCATATACATTCTGGGCCTTATTCTCTACAGAAATCATCTACTGCTCATAGAATGCTTATTAAAAACATGGACTAAACACATGTGCAAATACTCTGCAACAAATGTTTAGGACACAAAATGAGCTTACAGTATGAAGATTTAATGACTTTAGGGACAGAAATTGTGTCCCTAAACAAAGCTAAACTTGACAATTAGTTGCTCTCAGTGATCTCAAAGTTCAGCTAGGTGTGGTAATGCAAGCCTATAATCCCAGCACTCGGGAGGCTGAGGCAGGAGGATCATTGTGAGTTCGAGACCAGCCTGGGCTACAAAGTGAGCTGAAGGCCAGCCTGAACTACACAGCGAGACCCTGACTCAAAAAGGTAAAAAAAAAAAAAAAAAAATCTTAACATTCAATTGTGTTGTGATCACTAGAGTAACCTATTAGGAGATTATAATTACTCAAAAATATTAAAACAATCACAACTGTCTAAACAGTGCAGTGGTTAGGTTTTCCAGGTGTCTGTAAGTAGAAGGTAAACCCAATATGAAGTACCTTTTCAGCTTGCTTGAATGTATGATAACTTCATGAAACCTACTCTGTGTCCAACTGGGTAGAGTACTCTTCATTTCCAGTGTTCTAACAGCATCTTGTGTTCATAGCTCTTCTAGACATAATCACACTTTAGTCTGCTTACTTGTCTATTTCTTAGATTTTGAGGACAAAGGATATAGAATTGTTATGGTTTGTGTCTGTGTGTCCCCCCCAAAGCCTCATGTGGTCATGGGGCAGGCTTTCAGAGTTTGATTGATTATGGATGTGAGAGCTACACCCGCCTTGGGGTGGATAGTTTGCATATGTAAGGGAGAGGAAGAGGCTGCTTGGGGCCGTTCCTCCCTTTTAGTGCTTGTTGCTTTTGCTGTGTTCTGCTGCCATGAGCTGTAGCCCTCTGCCATGTGCCACTCTGCCTTGTAACCTGCCAAGTATGGACTAAAACCTCCACAAACTATAAATGAAATAAACCTTTCCTTCCTTAATTTTGGGCATCAGGCATTTTGTCCCAGCAACAAGAGAAAAGTAACTAAGACAGAGGACAAAGGATATAGAATTTTAAATAATTCTTACTTTTTAATCTCAGCAGAGCTAAAATTTAGTAGGTGGCCTTGCACAAGCAGCCAAAAGCATTTATTTGATTTAATGTAATTTAGTTAAACTTTCAGTGTTTGCTTGAAAATTCTGCTTTCTTTTTTTTTTTTTTTAAAGCAGAATATATTTATTGAAGGAAAGAAAGCTTCTGTCCAAGAGAGGGACAGAAAAGGGGCCCAAGTGGGTTACCCAAGACTCTTGTCTTTTTTAGGGACTTTTATAGAGCA